CAAGACTTGCATTGGCTACTCAGAAAATTAGTAGCCGGTGGTCATTAGGTTAATGAAATCAGGATTATCAAGTATATTATGATTCAAAGTCTTATATTATTTAAGTTTTTATTCCTTTATTTAAAAAGAAACTGCTAAAAGAATAATTAAAAATTTCTCATTTGCTCTCACTTGAAGTGCAATTGGCTATAGCATGGAACATTAGACAGTCATACAAGAAACAACTATGGTTAAAAAAAGTCTTTCTTGCTGGCACTAAACTACATGTACATACAGTTCATTTATCAGTAACTTGATACAAATTTCTGGAACTGACCGGGAAAGAAATCATTATAGACATTCCTGAGTTCAAGCCATGCCACACCCACTTGCAAAGTAGAAGCTGGGTTGGTTAGTGATTGTTTTAAGTTGAATGGCATGTTTATAACCAACAGAAAGAGCAGATTTCACCCTTCAAAGTTGTTTATCCTTACATTATACATATGGTATAGATATACTTTCAGTGCCATTATAATGAGACTAAGTTCATTGTTGAGAGCAGTTTCTATAGTGTTTGGCAATTTTCTCTCCCCTTATATGTATCAGTTTGACAGACAGATTGCATTTAGGTTTTACTTTTATATTTTAGTTAATTTCCATATTGGCCTAATTATAGGGTGATCTCAAATATAAGGTGACCTCCATTTTTAAAAACTATGGGGAAAAAAAAATGTAGTGCCATAACGTCCTTTTTTTAGGTCCGCAAAATCAATATTATCTGAACAGCCTGCATATGGATTAGTTGCAAGAATTAGCAATGACCTTAAGTGAACATCTGGTGCACATGAGTAGAAGGATGCTACCTGGACATTCAGGAATTCGACAGGTTATTATAGGCCTGAGGTCAGCTGCATTTATAAGGCAACTATGAATTTTACAGCTTAATAAAAAAAACACTGCCTTATAATCGGGCCAATACAGTATGTATTATTTGTGTTTTAAGATATATATTTTAAAGGTTTACTTTTTAAAAATTATTCTATACTTTGAATTGCTAAACCAACTTTGAGACATTTACAAACACTAAAAGTATTATGCTGGAGGGGTTAAACCTAACAACCAAAGTTAATGTAACATCAATTGAAGGCACTTATTGATGTGTGTCGACATAAATAATTAAAGACAAAGAAAAGGAGAGGAATAATATAAAACAATACAAATGAATTATGAGAGAAAAGATAAAGACATGAAATTATGCATGTCAATCACTGAAGATGTCATTTAAATAATCAACTTTTCAGAGTCCGAGTGCAAATAATTACATTAAATAAAAAAATTTATTTTTAAAAAAGGAAAAAAATCAAAATCAAATATTTAATTTTTATGAAATTACATACTGTTAAGATAGTTCTTGTCAAATTTCAAACAATTTCATCCATTAATATTATTCTTGGAACACTATATTAAGAATCGCAACACCCAGTAGTTATTTGGTTAAACCTTGCATTTTTGTGTGTTATTACTGCATACTGTACTGAAATAATGTGAAGAAAATATCAGGTAAAACTGTGTACTTATTACGAATATTTCAATCTGTGTGACTGAAAATATTCCACAACAACCAAATAAAACACTGAACACATCAAGTTTATATATATATATTTATGATAACTATGTAGTTGTTTGTGAATTGTATTTGCTAATCATTTACCCACTCACAAATATTTCAATTTGATCTAACCTAAATATTTTTGACATTTAGCCTTTACAAGAAACAAAAGGTAAAAACATTGTTTTCTCTTAGACTTTTTGTTACTTTTATATCTAAGAAAATTTAATACCTGCCACATCTTTCAATATTAGGTGCACTGTATTTTCAAATAATACCTTACAGGTCATGCAGTTATTACAGGTAACATCATATCTCCCAATTCTTAACACTGAGATCAAATCTTTTCTTCTCATGCACATGCTGCCTAATGTTGTGTTCTTTGTGTAGTTAGTTCATACATTATGCAACACTCATGAATGAAAATTTTTCAAATATGTATAAAATGAAATGTATATTTATTTATATAAGTTATTGCTATATACACATATAACCATCACATGATGTCATATACTTGAGTAATTTATAACTGGTTAGCTCTGGCTCCTGCATCAATTAGTTTGGTAACCTAAATGGGGTACTTTCCAAAGCTTCATATTAGAGCTGTCAAATTCAACTCATTTTTTATTTCAGGCATCACAAAATAAATAATCAATGGCAAAATGTATTGAAATAGGATTTTTCAGCTAAAATTCTAAATAGATGGGATTAATATTCATGCTTTCACTATTTATTAAATACACACACACACAGAGGCACCACATCTCCCTTATTATCTACAGAACTGGCATTCTTACCATGCATATAAGTGGGAATCTATTAAATACAGGTCTATATACTCTTTTGGGTTCTCGACACTCAGCTACTTTTTGAGACAATTGACCCCAAACTGACCTTCAGAGTTTCCATACTATAACTTCTAAAATGCTTTGTATATCTTCAGAAATTTTGCAAGCTTTCAGTAAGCATTAAGTTATTTGTAGACAAAAAAAAAAAAAATGTTTGGAGTCAAAGTGATTTTCATGTTATGATTAAAAATACTTTTCTTCATCTAAAAAATCTCAAGTTTCATTTCATAATCTCTAAAACCTCCTAAATAAATTTCAAATGTCTCTTTCCAGTAAAACATTATATGTTATGTGTTATTTCCTCCACCCTAACTCTATGCAAGTTTTGTCAATTTGAAGTAAATCTAAATTACCCTTTTTTTTCCTTTCTAGAAAGATTTCCAATTGTAACATAAAACTACATTTGTATATACTTAAATTTAATTGTTTTACTGATCTTTGAACTGTGTCTAAGTGATACTCCTACCATAAAATTTGTAAATCACTTGGCTAACATGAAGATCACGCTACCCTTTCAAATTACATAATGCAAGGGCTACTCGCGAGTTGCTTGCATGCATACATTATGAAAATTTTTATTATTCTTTATTTTACTTAATCTAACCTTATCTAACCAAAAAAGTTCCTACTTTTTACATTTTAGTTACTTATATAATGATAAATAAAGAATACACATGAAAAACAAGAAATATGGTATTTAACTGGGTCTTCTTTTTTTGCTGTTGGCAGTCAATGAAACTTAACCCTACTTTTTTTTGTAAAGTTACTACTGCGCTAAATTTTTTATTGAGTCAAATAGTGCACCAAAGAATATATAATAATAACACGCAAAAAGCAGACAATGTTCTATAACTATCACAAATTTTCTGGCTTTCTCAGTATGCAACAAGAGCAGTTAGAAATTCAGTTAAGCTCATCAATGTGTTTCCTGTGGGAATAAAGTTTGAACTGGAGGCAAAACAGAAAATTTAGTGTAAAGAAAACAAAGTAATATAATACTCCATTTGAGTAAATCATTGGCTTTCTATTGGCTATAAACAACATAGTATTAAACATGAGAGAGAACTATTGGCAATTTCTGATTTACAGGGTCTGATTTACTATTTTATGACTCTGCAACCTAATAAGATTGAACGCTATAAAGATTATGCTTTGCCCGAGTGATGGCAACTTATAATGAGTAATTTACATTACATTTCATACTTTTTGAATCTCACAATTCTCATACTAGGTGAAATTCAAGACTGTTTTTATATTGTCTTATAAAATTAAAAACTTAAGACTTATATAAAGTTAAAATTTAGATTATTATGCAAAGTTTATTCAAAGAAAGTAGTTTAACTAAATTTTGAATAACTCAGGCAAACCTCATGACATGAGCAGAAAAGAATGCTCATAGAGAGAGGGTTAATATACATCTCCAGCTGTCTTAGTTTTACATATTGAGTGCTAATCAAAAGCTATAGTTCATATATTTGTTGGAAACACTACTCAACAGATCAAAAAGCAAGAGTTGCAACAATCTTTCAATCAGTGGTCACCCACCCTAATGACTGTCCTAGCTGAGGTTGATCTGTATCAGCTACACCTATCAGGATGTTAACACTGGTGGCTCAGAAAATGATCAAAGCTGTCTTTTGCCTTTAAGTCCAGTATTTCCTCATCTGGCTCATTTGGGGCAGCCAGATAAGTACTTTGAGCTTTCTCCCTCAGCAGCTGAGTTGGTATGACTAGAGACAGCATCATCATCATTCTCCTTTGACTCATTGAGCTAAGTATGATTCCTGGTCAAGGTAGTGTGTGAGAAGATCATCTGCAATATATAACAAGCACAGTTTACTGGCATGCTCAATACATATTTGTGCAGTTACTGTAATTCATACATCAGTGGACAAATCTGTCAGAGTACAATGCAAGTCAGATCCTGACACCTCAGTTCTTTTATCTTATTTTGATATCCCTTCTGTCTCTGATGGCCTTTCCTAGTTTTTGATAGGTGAATTCATATGGATCACCCTTAACCATTCTATGTATTCCTGTTGACACTGTGGAATGCATTTTCATGGGGGAGGACCATACATCATTTAAAAATGAAGTAGTATTTCCTGCCCAAACATAAGCATGTTTGGCAAACAGCCAGTGTCCAGTTGATGGAGTGCTGGTCTCACTTGGAAGGCTTGATACATCACAAAGTATACCAATGTGTCAATAAGGAACTTGGTCTCTCACCCTTGTACCCTCACAGGTATGTACCAAACTCCAGCAATCCCAGAGAACTGAAGTGACCACTAAACACTTCAGTGAAAGTAGTCTGCTGTGCTCCTCCAAGTTGGTGGCCAAACCTGACATAGGCTCTGTAAATTTTCATGAGGATTTAAATCAGCATTTACCACTTGCTGCTTATTATCTTGGACCCGCTGAGCCACCAGACAGTTCCAATGATCTTGCCTACTTTGTTGCTAGGTGCTATTAGATGGCTGGCATCTGCTATGCCATTGGAGGAAATCGATAGCTCTGATCTTTGCTGCTTACCATAATTTGGGCAGATTATGTGCCATTGTCCCACTACATCAAAAGTTAAGTAGATGCTTAACAGGGTAGTACAGATGGAACACATTGCCTATATAAGCAGCCAGATCCTCAGTTCCAGTCCTCTTCTAAGGCTTAAAGTTGATCCAATAAAACAAACAATTTTCTACATGACCAAATCAGTGGTACAATTAGCCACGGATGTGTTCTTCCAGTCTTCTTGCTTCTCTTCATTCAGAGCATTGAACTGATGCTCCGGAGTCTAGACATTATAAAAATGATCCAAGGCTTCTTTTGCCATTCCTTTGATCAGAGGTGAAACTGCTTTGTCTCATTCACAAAGACTTGTGGTGATGGCTAAAGCCTCTCCCTTGTGGGTTATTGGCCAGTGCCTGGTAAAGATGCTGCCAATATCACAGCTGGAGTGTGGTATACATAATCAGGGATTCTGACACTAAGAAAACTAAAGTAGTCCCTCTTAGAAACAACCGACCTATCTGCCATGATAAAAAAAAGTTGTATCTAACAGGAAGTCATTATTCAAAGGATCAATAACCAGATAACAAATGACTGACTTCAAGCTGTACCAGTTGCTATTTCCAGGGGTTGAGCATAATGGTTTATACATTGTAGAGGTAATCAGATAAAGTAGCAAATCCTTGTCTCTTGTAACGATATACAGTGTGTGTGTGTGTGTGTGTGTGTATGTATATATACATTTATAAACCTTTTACATAATTATTTTAATATCAAATTATAAAAGAACATGCAATAACTGTCCAGGATTCTACAGAGAAACTAAAAAAAAATTGGAAACCCAATTCCCCGAACATAATAAAAAGCATCCCATATTTACTACTATTGAAACTCAAAAAATCCGCAGTATACCTATACAAAACACTGGAATTTTACATAAAGAACCTAACATTGGAAGCTACGTATATTAACTGAACAAAACAGCCCCACCCTAAACCAAAATATCATCTTGAAACTTGGATCCCAGCTCTGAAAAGGGACCATTCTGCAAATATAGAAGACTCGGTAAAGAAATACGAATAAATATCTGAACTAAATTATTGCTAGACTCTAGCCAATATCTAATAAGGTATATATATATATGAATATAAAATAATACATAAAATGTAATAAGTTGCATGAAAACAATTTCAGGTTGACTAAAAATTCTCTAACTTCCATGTTTCTTTATAAATCACATATATATGACTTGAAATTGGTTGCTTTCTTCACAGTTTTGGTCTACATCAACATCCACATCATGTTTCTATATCTTCTATATCTTCTTCACAGCAACTTCCTGTTCTCAGCTTGAGACATTCGCAGCTTTCCCGGATGCCTTGAGGCATTTCATTAGCGATGCTTATGGCACACATTAGTCAAGTCTGTCACTCATGAAACCATGAGTTAATAACCTTCACACCATGCTAGTAAATCCTAATCAAGTTACTTAACATCTAGGCCACTAGCTCAAAATCTACTACATTCGCTAAAACAATAACCCCTGGTTACCTTTCAGGACCTGAAAGTCTTTAAACTAAAATGCCCATGTGTATGTACTAAGGAATTTGAATTGAACTCCCAAGGGTACCAAGATACATATACTAAGCTGTGAAGCAATCTCTGGTCACGTGACCTCTTCGTTCCCTACTGTATATGCTGTATTTATGCATCTCTGTAAATTACATTATTGATTATTACATTATAGCCATGCTATAGAAAGGTCATTATCTGACCTTCCACCCAAAAAGTCACAGTCGTATGTAACATCTGTCAGGAAGTTGTTCGTGGGAGGTTAGATCAATGTAAAATCATTCCATATACAGAAACAAAAGCCTTATTTAAGAGGAAGTCATTATTGGAGAACAGCACATTCCTCTTGGAAGCTCTTACTTTTCCTCATCTCAAAAATCTCAAATTTCCTTTATATAATCCCTAAAAACTCCCTTAATGCAATCAAACGTTTTTATTCATTAAACTTTATAGAGTATGTGTTATTTTCTCTATCCTATCTCAAAATGGGATCGGTCAATTCGACCGACCTCTTAACCAACAAAAAAATTTAAATAAACCTATATTAACCTTTTTACTTTCTAGAATGACTTCAAATTGTAACATGAAACTACATTCCTTTATCCTAATTAGCTCTAAGTTTGTGACATTATATATCTATTTGTAATTAAATTTTATCATTTTATTGCCCTTTGAACCGTGTATAACTACTATCCGTGCCATTATAAGTTGTAAATCACTCGGGGAACGTCCATCCCACATTATGCTATTGAATTACATTACCCACAAGCTGCTTGCATGTGTGCCTCGTGAACCATTTTAATTATATAATTATTATTACTTATTTTACCTAATCTAGTCTTAAATAACTTAAAAAGATCCATATTTTTAGATTTAAGTTACTTTTATAATAATTAAAAAGAATGAATATGAAAAACAAGAAATAAAGTACTTACCTAATCTTCTTTTTTCTTGCTGTCGGGTTTTCGAGGAGAGTTAAGCCAAATTTTTTTTTATAGTAATGCATTCAATTTTTATCTAATTAAATAATGCACCAAAGAATATAGACTAATATGCAAAAGGTAGAAAAATTGCCTTACCTCTCAAAATTTTCCTGGCTTTCTAACTATGCAACAAGAGCCATTACAAATTCATCCAAGCTAGTCATTTACTTTCCCACGGGAATGAATCTTGTAGTGTGAGTGAAGTTGACTATATTCTTTACAGAACACAACATTATATAATATGTCATTTGATAGATGAAAATCTTGACTTTCTATTGGTTATAAGTAAGATAAAATGAAATGTAAGAGAGAACTATCAACGAATTGTGAAAGAGAGGATGTGACAGGAGGGGACTGATTTTCTATTCAATAGCTCTGTAACCAAACAAAAATTGAAGACTAAAAATTATGGTTCTTATAGAGAGTAATTTACGCTTAATTTCGTACTTTTTCAAGGGGTGGTAGATAAAATAGGGATGATGACAAAATGTGTCACATGGGTCATACCAGTGGAAATTCAGGATTTATTTTAGTATTGCCTTGCAGAATTAAGAACTTAAAACTTACATACTATTAAAATATTGATTATTAGCTAAGATTTTGTGCTATTCTAATTAGTATAAAATAAATAAAAAGTAGTTTAATAAAAATTTTGATGTAAGACACAAACCTTGTGTCATGCACAGTAAAGGGTACCCGGAGCAATAGGGTTAACTAAAGAGCTCAAGTAATGGCAACATGCATATTATTAAAAACAGGAAACTCTTAAATTAATCCTGTGATTGCAGCACAAGTTTTTTCTTCCTACTAAACCTGCCAGATGTCTTATTTCCACAAAGAGTATCAGGTATGCCCACTTTATAAGAAATGATTCAATCTAAATAATTACTGAGACCAGGATATAATCTTCCCCTTGGAGGAACGGTAAAAGACCCTCAAGTGTCAGAGATGGGTGGAATTTTAGCATGACCAGCCAAGCACTAGCACACAAGCAGACAGCAAGCCAAGAAGTGTAATGTTGTTAGGGTGCAATCAGACTGTATGGGGTCTGACCTCAACTCAATTGGACAGAAAAGATGAGGTGAAGAACCCATCCTGCTACAGGAGGAGGGCACACTTGAGAGGTGACCTACACTACACAGACAGTGCTACTACTGTCATACTTTCCACCATACTGTGCTGTACAAAATCAGTGAGGAACTCTCCAAGGTCCACTACCCCAGTGGCTAGGAAATATCAAGTGGAATGGTTCTCCCATGCTCTGCTCAAAAGGTAGGAAAAATTCATGTTGGAGAGACAGAGAGAAGCACCCAGATCCCCACAAGATGTCTACTGCAAAGGTCCTTTACTGAAGACAGTGTGATGGACGATTGCAAAAACCCTATTTTTAAAACCCAGCAAGAGTGAGCCAAATAAGGGAAGTCACTTTTCTGATGCCTACTTGTAAGTATACCGTAGGAAGCAACACCAGCCACCTGGCAGGATCCTATAAAAGGAAAAAGTTATTTAGAAAAAATTGTATTTACCCTTCTCAAAGAAAGTGTGTAAACTGAAGGACAGTGACCAGAAGGAGTCTTGATCCTGCAGGAGATGAAA